AACGTAGATTCAGATACTTTAAATGTGTTTTCCGATTGTGGTTATGGCTTAGGGAGCCTCACAATCAGGAAATTGTATACAGATGGGTGGTATGCTATCAATGCTTTGTAATTTTGCTTCTGACTCAGATCCATTTGCCAGATCCATTGAAAACTTTGAAAAATGATCAAACACTTCAGTTAATTTGATCGTGAGATATGAGTTCACGCTATGAGCAATATAACTGTTTTTTAGCAATATAACTGTTTATCTCAGCCCAATTAATTGATTAGTTGATCTTTAATGTGACTATTCGCTCGCAGTTTTCATGGTCACTGATTAAAGGAAACTTCCCTTCTTTGAAGAAGCCCTCTAAGTGCTAATGAAAAACTTCCGAACTCAGTGCTGAACCATTTGAAAAGTTTCAGCCGGGCGATACAATTGTAAAAATAAACGACATGCAAGTGTCGTCACAAGCGCAACTCGCCTCATTGCTACTTTCTTGTGGACCAACTGCACGATTCATCGTCTTACGCGATAAAGGCAGCTGCAACATCGAATGCTGCGAAGATAATTCAGCTTCATACGAACACGAATCAAAAAAATTGCAAAGCATTCATACGGAGAAGGCAACGAATGGAATTGATTGTGGATATTGTTTCATGGTTATGTCTATTCATTGAATTATTGATCAGCAATAGGTTAATTTCGTATGAAACCAGTCCGTCCCCATATATCGCTCGAGTAGTGGTGTTCCATCCATACTGCGTTGGGCAAAACTCAGAAAATTTCCGCTTCTTGAGCACAGTGATTCTCTGGAAACTTGTCGAATTCATAACGATGTTAATGATGTTTTGAATGCAATTTGCAGGATGTGACGATATGTTTCAACGATAAATCGGGTAGAAAGTTAGGGTTGGGAATAAAGGATTGTCATCATGCAGTGATAGTTTCGCGTACGGATCCAGGTTCTGTGGCGGCCGAGTTGTTGAAAAAAGGCGATACGATTACTAACATTGAAGGTTATAAAACAACGAATAAAGACGATGCTAGATCGCTACTGCTCAACTCGTTAAAGGTTTTCGTTTTTAATATCTCCGTTCGCTAGAGCACTGTGCTAGCGATTCGAAGGATGCTAACGATGTTGTGCTAATCAGTGAAGAGTAAAGTTGAAGAAGTGAATTGCAGAAAAATGGTAAAGTAAAACTGAGAATATTGCGTGCAGA